TATTTCAAGCTCATCTGAGCCAAAGGATTGGTTGGCTGACATGGTGTAACGTGTCTGCTTGTTTTGTGAATTGGTGAGAAACAAAACTGAACTTGTTTTGGTTTCTGTCATAAAATGCTCTCAAAACTTCTCGACAGGGTTTTCGTTGCTGTCAGGTCAATGTCCGTTAAGCGATAAAGTACAATAGGGGAGCGCTCCTATTTATGTGTTTTGGGATCAAAGCAAAGTTGCCACGTCAGAAAGGATCAAAGCAAAGTTACCGCATCACAAGGAATCAAAGCGTTCTAATATGTGCGCGCATGCGCACACACGTGGTTGTTTGTGTAATGTTGTTCACACTAAGAATTTTAAAAGGAAACTGACAGTTACAAAACTTTTTTTTCGTTTATTTGTATTTGTTTTGTTGTTGTTTTTCTGCATACCATGTCCAGCTTTTCTGTATAAAGTAATGAAGAATCTTGGATTTGGTGCTTAAAACTTCGTGAAACTGTAACCGTATTTCATTCACCATAAATCACTATCTGATTTCGAATAGTTTTCTTATCAGATACAGAAGTCTAAAACCAACATTTCTCTGCCTGGGCTGCCTTGTAGCTCTGCACGTTGTCTCTTCAATGTGTGACCCCCTCCCTCCCCGAACAGTCGGGGGTGAGTGCACTAACGTGTCCGGTGGTGCCGTTTTAATGAGTGTTTGCTGGAAAACGAAAAATACAAGGAGTCTGCAAGATGGATTTGTACGTTTTCACAATGGGGGAGTTTGCTTAAGTGCTAGTAAATAATTTTCTCGAGTGTGTACGTTACACATGCTAATTTTTGAAATTGTTTTTATTATTTTGCTAGCTAGCAAACTCCGGGATAAATGATTGAAATGTACTTAGTGTGATGCAATACGGTGCCGCTATTATAACAGTTAGTTATTGCAGGGTAATTTATGTAATATGCTGTGAATTTAACCAAGACTACACAGCAGTAGCAGTATTGCGAGTTACTTCCCCAAAGTGAACGCTTTAAACGTTAGCCCGATGCTTAACTAGCCAACTTAAGGCTTTCTGATTAAAGGCTAAAAGCGGCGTTGTCACCAAATAAATAGAATATTGATGATATTTTTGTGTATTGCTGCAGTTTTTTCAAGTATTAACTTGGTGCTTTTGGCAACCTTACGGGGAAATAATGGTAATATGGCTAATCCATATGGACACAAAGAATATAGACTTTTTTATGCTACCGAAGTTCCCTCGCTTTCATTCAAAATCTGCTTATCGTTAAACAACTTAAACTTTATAATGGCTTCAAACTCACATTAAGGCCTGTGGGACACTATCAGCCACTGAAACAGTAGACAAATGAATATTTCATACCTTAAGGCTGCCTGTTTGTTTAAGGGAGATGAACTATACATTATAATTGTATATAATAATATCACAGATGATAGATTTAATAGGTTTTTGAAAGATGCTTGTCCATTCTTCAAGTCTTATATGTTGAATTGAACCGAGTATGTCATCTGTTCAAAGCTTCTCCCAGTCAGTGCTGTTCTATGTGCCTGTCTTACTGTACATGATGTTATTAGCACAAACACTTTAAAGGTGATAATTTAGGACTTCAGCAACACAGACTGCAATGTAGTTAAGCATCTTACAGTTAGTTTTAAATGAATGAAAAAAGACAAGCAAACATCTGTCTCCTATTCTTTTGTGTCACGTAAGAAAGAAGCATTTCTCATGATCTGACTGAGGTGATGCGAAGTGAAATAGTCATCCTTTTTTTGGTAATGTGCTGGAAAAGCTTGAAGATGGAGATTGATAGTGCTTACAAATTGCTTGAATGTCACCCTGAAAAAGGTGTATGAAGTAAAATCTGATTTTGATGCGTTCAGCACAAAATTTAGTCACACAGTCAGGACAACATCTGATTTACCTTCATTGGGAAACATGTTTAAAGCAGGAGTTCAGTACATATTTTGTTTTTTGTACATATTTTTATAGATCTTTGTTTATTAACTTTTTTAAATTGTATTCTAATGTTTTTTTTTAATTCTATATATTTTATACATGTGTTACATTTACATTTTCATGTAGCTTTAAAAAAAAATTTTTTTTTTGTATTTTGGTATCTTTACCTGTCTCATAAATTCAGGGCTACATCCTTTCTATAGACAAAGAGCTTATCTTGGAGCCTTCAGCTTCTTCTTTAGTACTTTCATAGGTGGATGTAGGAAGTAACAATAATATGTGATGATAATCTGTGATACATGAAATAATCTTATATTAATAGTAATAATGGATCTGTTCCGGTCAGGAAAATGCTTGTGCAGAGGTTTCATTGTGCTTGACATTGTCCTTATTACCACCACAGCTCTGCCTCGCAGTGACAGTTTAGTTGCAGTTTCGAGGCTCATTTGTGTACCAGCATAAAGACTTTCCTCGCAGTGAGCTGTGATCTCAACTACTGAGCTGATCCATGCTATAGTTACAGCTGGATATTTTTTTCTCTTTCGTAAAGTGTTTTCATTGAACAGACTCATTCATTATTAATTGTTTTACATATTTTGTCTTTTACGTAAACAAAACACTGCTAGAATTAAAGTACTAGAAACAATTAAAATACACTGTAATTAGTACTTTTAGCAATTTGATAGATGCCTTTTATTATATTTTTAACATCAGCATGTTGAAGGACTTGTTGAGAAGAGAGTGCTAATTTATATGCTAAAATATGTTTTTCTTTTTGGCCAAGTTAGTGAAAACACTTTATTATCCTCTAATAGATTTTTTAAATGCTTGGTGATCATAGTACCCAAAACTAGCTGCATCAGGTAGTACTTCTGAGAGGATCAGAAGTCCCAGGTATACTGGTATTGGGTGTTGCAGCTGTAGGGATGACTCTTTCTGAAGCCTCAAGCTGACTGTTTCCTCTCAGATGTAAAAGGCTGATGATTTACAAAACAGACACTGCGTCGTTCAAATAGAAGAGGCTCATCATAAAATAAGAGATATTTTACTCTCTGAGCATTGTTTCTAGTGTCCATTCATCCATTTAGTTTACTCTGGTCTTAATAAAGAGCTTAAGAAGAGATATTGTTAGAACTTAGAAATAGGAGGAGCAATTCAGACGTTAAGTTTTTAATACGAATCGCTGGACAGAAAAAAGTGGCACACCTATTCGTCTTCAAAACAGGTTTGATTGACCGGTTAAAAGCTTAGAACACAAGATGCTGAAACTTTACATACATGGCTGTTACATACTGGGCTGAACTGGCAGCTTATCAGAAGTAGCTTTTGATGTTGGCAGTGTGAGAGCTGAAAATCCCAAAGTCATCCTATTTTCATCACTGACTGGTTTTAATCACGTGATGGCTTCATGTTACCCTGTGCTCTGACTAATGATCGCATAATGTTATGCTTACTCATTTCCTTTAACCCGACAGTCCTGTAATCCTCTCGTCACCGAGCGCCTCTTTAAGTGATTAAAGCAAAATGAGGACACTTGACGAAACACGATCTATTCATAGCACATCACCGCTGTTCCACCCTCATCTCCACCACCTCATCTATTTTTAACATTTCATTGTCAGTCCTCACAGCTTAAGAATGGAAACTGAAGGCATTTCTCTTTTCAGCCTGCAGATGGCGCTGCAGTCCTTCACTACATCTCATCCTGTTTTTCTGTTTTCCAGCTGCTAAGAAGGCCAAAAAGGCTCACAGACCTCTGAAAAAACAGCTGTCCTCGCCAAACTTCCAACGCAAAGAAAAATCTGAGAAAGTGAGTCAGCAGTTTCATGAATATTTCACTGCGGCTCCTTAGTGAAGTCAAACACGGCAGAGTTCAACCCAAATATCTGACACATCTTATCTGTAACCTACAACAGGATGAATTGTTTTTAGCTGGGTCTTATAAATAACTGAAATGCCCTAAATATGGATACAGAACTGACTTTGTAGCATTTTGGTGCATATCTGATATTAGTGGACATCCTACAGGAAAAAGCTGGATTTATTATTGATACTCCACAATATCTTATTGTGTGTCCATAAAAAGATCTCACACACTGACTTACACTTCCTTTTAGATATTCTGTCATAATTGTTGCTTATCTTTTTTACTTCAGTTTTACAACATTCATTATTTTGTCTTCAGAATGTGCTTTTTTTCCTCCCTCAGTCACAGACCAGGGACAACACGCCTTTCACGTGAGTAGACCTACATGTTTATCCTACTTACAAATTTGCTAGGCAGTAGCTGTGCATTGAAGTTTAATTCTTTAAAATGTAGCTGGAGCTAATATAAGGGTTCAGCACTTTGTATTAATCACATTCATAGACTGTATAGAAAAGATGGATGAAGCCACCATGTTCTCAGTAACTTGTTGTTGAAGTCCTGTTGTGAGGGGTGTGTCATTGCCTTTACAGTCTTGGTGTTTTAAAACTGGGCGTGGCTCCGACTGAAACAGAATTCATGTTGCCACATCTGTGTTTGTTTGCATATTTGGCTAGAAGGAATAAAGCATTATGGGTATTCAAGCTATCCAGACTTCACTTTTTGTCTAGCATGACTCGGATCTTGTCTGTGGCAGAAGAGCCACAGAGAACGATAGTAGCCCATAGACCAGCTGGTGCCCTCTGGTGATGGTAAACAGTTACAACAGGTAAACCAGTCCTGGGTAGAAACCAGTGGATCCGCTGAGCTCAGCTTTTAGGGTTTTCCATTAGGTGGTAGTTAAGGCCATATCATACCGTTCACTGTAATACGGGTATAATGTTGGGCAACGATAAGAAAATGAAATATCGCGATAGAAAATGGGTAAAACACACATGCGCAGTGCCTTTGTTTTCATACGCACATGGCGGAAAAAGCATGGCAGCGACGGAGAATGAGGGCGAAAGCAGATCGTTGAATGAAACGGATGAAGCAGAACTGGTTTGTAAAAATGCTGCAACTTCAGTGTGGAACTGGTTTAGCTTTCGTCCGTCAGATACACAACAAAGCACTATTTTTGGTAGAGCATGCTAGCGGGCCGTCGTTATTACCGTGTTTTTTGGAAAATACGGCACACTTAAAATCAATCCTTTGACTTTTCTGAAAATCGAGCGTGCCCCTTATAATCCCGTGTGCCTTATGTATGAGTTCTGGTTGTGTTTACTGACCTCGAAACGATTTTATGTGCACGGCGCTCGAGAATCTGTCAAATGTTTTAGTACGACTTTGCTAAGCTACGAAGCCGCACCGCTTGATGGATTGTCGGAGCATTACGGCTATCGTAGGCAGGAGCCTCGCGGAGTGATGCGTACTGTGCTTCAACATAATGTTACCGTATTGTGTGTGTATAACCTCTTTTAAGTTTTGTGGATGTTATACATGGTTATGCTGAGGATATGTCGGCCAGTTTCCACTGGAAATGCCTTTTGGTTAAACTGTCAGCAAGAAATTTGCACTGTTTCATTTTTATATAACTTTAATGCACATAAAAAAACAGCTGCTTGTTTAAGTGAAAATACATAGATTTTTTTTTTTGCACTAATAAAGTTGTGGAGTTGTATTTTGTCTAGTGTCAATTATATCATCAGTTATATCGTTATCGCAAATTTTCAAATATATATCGTGATAAATATTTTTGGTCATATCGCCCTGCTCTAGTGGTAGTACTTGGTGCCAGGTAATGTTTTTGTAGTTTCTCAGCCGAGTTTCCAAGTGATCCAGATCAATTTGAAAACAGACATCAACAGACTGCATGCCACCAATTGGCCAGTCAGTGGCTTCAGACCCCTTCACAAAAATCAAAACTGACATTTTTGAAATCCGGCAGTGAGGGAAATAGCGACACAAAACCCACCTCCGACCTTCAGCCCAACCTGTCTGGTTTTAACATTAGAACTTTCTTTTTTGATGAGGCTTATGGTCAGGGCTGGATCAAGTGACCCAGAATCCTACCTTAGTTACCCTGCAATAGGCTTAGGCTCTTGGGGTTTCCCACGATGCACTGTTTCTACTTTACTCGCCTCTTTGCACTCTCTGTGTTTATACACCCCTCTGCATTTAATTCTTAGTTATTATCAATCTAAGCTGTCCTCCACAGTTTCTTTTCTCCTGCCTCATGCCCAGCCGGTGGTGGCAGATGGCCCCGCCCCTCCCTGAGCCTGGTTCTGCCGGAGGTTTCTTCCTGTTAAAAGGGAATTTCTTTCTTCCCACTGTCACCAGGTGCTTACTTGAAGGGGGTCATTTGATTGTTGGAGTTTTCTCTGTATTATTGTAGGAACTATGCCTTACAGTATAAAGTGTCCTGAGGCCACTGTTGTTGGGATGTGGTACTATATAAATAAAGTTTAATTTGAAGTTGATATAGTGACTGTTCTGAGACACATTAGTCCCAGTCAGTAATCATTTTGCCATCTTTATGTGGAAGTTAGCAGGATCTGACTTCTGGTAGCAAGAATGTCAACAGCAACTGGTCAGAGGTGTGTTGCGGTGTTTGGTTTTGAAATGTTTCTCCTTCAGTCTGCGTTTGCGCCATGTTCACTGCATGTGGGAAGGCGCTCTGTGTCCTGATTGGTTGTCGTCACAGGCACAAGTTATTTTGACTTAGGAGTTCCAGGTAAGGTGTGGAGAATCAGGTCAGGACATTGTCCTTGGCTGCCTTTTCTCACACTTAACTGGAGATAGTCCCCTTAAGCTGGGTACTCACCCTGGGAAATACTCTGTGGTTAAGGGGAAGCTGCTCCTTTTCAGTGCCTGTTTGTTCCAGGTGGGGCCGAAAGTGTACGGCACCAACCTGATATAACAACATAATCTGAACGAATTTCTCTGCTGTAAAGCTGGATCAATAACATAGATTATACGTTTTTTTCAATCAATTTCTCGTGTTTGCTGTTTGAAGTTAACTGGTGCTCGCTCTGTGGGTGTTTGTGTGTGTTGTAGAGTAAGCGTCCAGAAGAGTAAGTGGGACAGCTCTCGCTCTATGCGCTACAACCAGGACGCTCAGCGAGAGGAAGGTAAAGGAGGACTCATTGATGCTTTTCTATTTTAAGCCACTGAGTCAGACTACGTTCTTTCAGTCTTGCATTAACCACTTTCTTTGCATGTTAACCAGACCAGCGCCGCATGGTGGAGATCATTGGCTACCTGACAAAGATGAGGTTTGGAGACCAGGAACAGAGTAAATCCAAGGATACTAAAGAGGTGGCTGTTTATTTACTGTACACCTAAAATGAGATTGATTGTCAGGGTGCAGGAAATGTGACTTTGACCAGGATTTATTGTCTTTCTTCACATCATGTGGTCAAGATTGGTGCTGAGCTGTCAGACCTGCTGTCCTTGTTTGTGCAGCTGCCTCATGTTGGATTGTTTTTCTTCCGGACTCTCTCTGTGTGTGTGTGTGTGTGTGTGTGTGTGTGTGTGTGTGTGTGTAGTGTGTGTGTTTTTCTTCCGGACTCTCTCTGTGTGTGTGTGTGTGTGTGTGTGTGTGTGTGTGTGTGTGTGTGTGTGTTACAGCCTGCAGGGGGGATCTACTCCAGACTTGAAGTGCAATTTAGGAGCTCCTCTCAAGTCAGACAGAGTTCAGAAAAGACACCCAGGTACATTTACAGTGTTACACACACCCTGGTGTCTCACTCAATAACTAAGCACTTTTTTCTTTCTTTACCTCTGCAGGTCTAAAACACGCTACGCTCAAATCCGAACAACATAAAGAAGCTAATGGGGGGAAAAAGGCAGTGGAGCTGCTAAATAGACCAGCATTAAACCCGATGACGAGGACAGAGACTTGCTCCTCAACCCCAGCACTTGTCAGCCCCCCCGCCCCTGCTTAACTCAGGTGACTATGTATTGATCACCGTCAACCACATCTCCTCTCACTCGGCCCACTGTGTGTTTGTTCAGCTGCATCCAGTCCACAAAAACAGCAGAACTGTGGACCCATCTCGGCTCATTAGAAATGCACTTTGACTTTCCTCAGTGTTTCTTTAAAGACGGACAGGTGGGGATTTCTACAGAAGGCAACTGGAGAAACGTATGGAAGTCCACTCATGCCAGTGGGAAAAGAAAAAGTCATTTGTATTTCAGAAAATATTTCATAGCAATGACAAACATGTATCTTATTGTAAAATACATAGTTTCTGTCTGTCCACCAACTCCTACACAATCAGGAGTTAATCAACCAAACTTGGCACACAGGTACATCTTAGGCCCCTATAAGTTCTTACCTATATCAGATACTATGGTGTAATCACATTACACAACTACCTACTGACCAACTAAAAGGACACACTTTGTGTTTATGCACCTATCTCACCTTATACAAGCATTGTATCATTTCAGTTTCACAACAGTAGCATCTCATTTACATCAGATGTTATAGTTGTGAATATTTTGATATGCAATATCATCGTGTTGCTTGGCAACCACCTGGTAACAGAATAAAAATACATTTATGTAGTAGAGCAGGACATGGGATGTAGTAGTAAAGGTACATTTAAAAAAGAAAGAAATTACAAAAATGCCACAACAGAAAAAAGTTTTGATGTTTAAAAAAAAAAAAGCATAAATCAAATTGACTTGAACTGAAGAAAAAAACTACATCAGGATACTGGAAAACATGTGTCTAAAGCTCCAATGACATTTTTTTTAAATGCTGAATTGAGATCAAATTTAATTTTGAGGTTAAGAAGTAAAATTGAGATAAATGTATTATATGTTATATGAAAATCGGTCAAAAAGATGTCATGAGAAAAATTTATGAAAAAAAAAAATCATTTTCTTAAACTGGCACTGATTATCTTCCTGGATGGCTAATTGAAGATGTTACCTTCTTAAACTGACATCTTATTTCCACCATAGTGGAAGGTCAGAGACGTGTCGCATGGAAATTTTACTGCATCAACTGAAATTTACACCCAGCCTTACATTTACACTGTAATTCTGCCTGCGTTCTGTGTAAAGCTCATTCTGTAGGTGAGAAGGATGCCACATTTGTTCCACCAAGTTCTGGTAGAGATGTAGTTCTAGTCTTTCCTGTGTTTACTGGAACGTGACTGTGCCATGTACCACACCTAGGCCAATAAAATACAAGTGGCTAAATCCATTCAGAGCCTTATGTGAACTTTTGTTTCTGGTTTATATCCACTGGGTGGCAGCAAATCACACTGGGGGAATAACTATGGATTCCCAAGACACAACCTTTGCCCCAGTTTCACCATGACCTTTCACCTCACCTTTCCAACAATCTACCAGATGAAAAATACGCACTTGATTGGTTCTCAGCTTTAGCAAAGAGTGTTAGTGTTGTTTCCTGTGTGAAAAGAAGCCAGAGCAGTTTGTGGAAACTGAAAGTCCCAGAGAGGGCTGGTATGTGCCACTAGGTTCGGGGTCACGCCGCTCCTCTCTGCATGAGAGGCACTGACCAATGGGCGTGCTAACCTGGCTCTTCCTGTAAGACTTACTCACAGGGGTATTAATAACCCTGGCTGCTCACAACACAGACCCAGAGCAGGGCTTAACGGGGCATAAAGCGTAGAGGAGGTGATGTGGGCTTTTTTTTTTTCTCCCCCTGTGGGCGGGCGCTACCCCAGCTGTTCTATCTTCTCCTCAACAGCAGATGCCAAGAATGGCTGAGGATGTGGATCTGGGTCAGGAAGGGGGGGTGGGGGAGTCCTGTTACAACTGGACTGAATTATGGTCCCACAGAGATAAAGAGATAGTTGGATACGAGAGCATCAAAGCAAACACGCCAAACTGACAGAGATGCTCAGTCTGCCAAGACCTGCAGAACTAAAATGTTACTGCTGCAGATTCCTCTGAAGCCTGGCTCTGGGACACAAGGAAATGAAAAGTTGAGTGAAATTAGAATTCCATCTCCCTCTCTGGTTACATCAGAGCTGACAAGATTGTTGGGATTGCGTAAGACGAGCGTTTCAACTTTCAATGGCACGGCGTCAGCATAACCTTTAATCTAATACCAGTATGTTAACAGGGATTAGTGGAGGAGTCCACTTACACAGCAGCAACCTTGGCTAAAGATGCCCAGGCGGAAACGGTTGGATGTCGCGTTGCCTGCGTGACGGATGCCATCCGTCATCACTGAGCTTTCCTTTTAGGATTTGTGTTTTCAAACCTTTTCAAAGCACGCTCCTCTTCACACGTAGATGTATGCATCTAACAGGAGATGGGACAAAATAGTCACTATGCTTAACGACCATGTGGTCAGAAATCCTTTTCCAGAGTTGATTAACAGTGCATCGGGTCAAAGCGCAACAAACCTGTTTAGGTTGGCTTTAGTTTCACACAACAAATCTGACACAAGATGTCTTCTACTCCAGCTGCCATGTGGCAAATCGTCTTTTATAGTAAGTGAAAGCGAAAGCAGCCTGCACTGTAGGAGGTGGGGTTGGACAAGTAAACACAAGTTCTCAGAGTTGATGACTCAATCAGCTCACAACTGAATTCGGCACAACGTCAGTGTCGTTGTTCAACTGTTGACACAAGAAAAAGCTAGTGAGTAAAGCTCTCACTAACAAAGGCTGTATGTTACAATGTTAGGTTAGGTTTAGAGTTTAGTCAGCTATGGCAGCGATGACTTAAAATTCAACAGAAAAAGCCTGCTGTATCGTAACACGATAAAGACTGCATTCTTACTCAGTATTGATCAAGGCCAACACTGAAGTCTTCAGACACACAAACAATATCTGCTCATATAAAACTCGAGTCTCTGCTGTGGAATGAAGAGATCTGAGCGAAGGCAGGATTATAAAATTCTCACCTTTAATCAGTTCAAAAAGTTCACAACAAATGTAACACCTTGAGAAGGGAAATCTGCCATTAGAGATTGGATGCTTATTTGGATTTATACATTCTTCCTAATTAAACTCACTGGCAATTCATTTACTCTCTGGACAAGAAAAAAAAAAAAAAAAAGCCTTTATTTGGACAAAACTCAAACAGTTACAAATGAAAAATGCAAAAATACAAAATTAAATGTAAACCCAGGTTTATTTCTCATTTTGCTCTAAAGGTAGTGTCTTGAAGCACTACTGCATGGTAAACAATCTAAATTAGTACAATTCAAAATCTCCAAAGCCATCTGAGTTAAACAGGAGTTGTTATAAAGATGCAACCAACCAAAGAGCCCATAAATACCTCCGCCACTTCCTTAAAACATCCCATTAATGAAGGCTCACAAATGAGCAACAATCCTCTTAGAGGAAAACAAAACGCTGATGTCGACTAGGCGACAGCACACACGCGCACACACCCACAACAAAAAGAAATAACAGAATAAGAGGAAAAAAAAATGTTCCCATGGTATTAAAGATGCTATACAATTGGGATGATATGCACATATTTGCTTTTGCTTTCCCTGAAAAAAAAACCTCACGCTGGCAGCAGCAGCTCAGTTTTTTGGGTGAAGCAGAAAGTCATGAGCAACAAGATGCTGCTGCACGAGCAGCGTCTCTCAGCCTTCATTCATTTTCCATTAGATTCACATTCTCCCACAATGCCGTGGGGCACCAAACAAGCGGTGCGTGCGCCTCTAAAAGACCACTTTCTGTCACACCACGGGTCTAGAAGCTTCTATGCCAACTCAACACATGGGCCGATTTTCACAACACCCCCGCCCTCCCCTGCCCACACTGAGTGTAGAATAGATCTATATATAAACAAAGAGATGGGAAAGAGGGAAGAACTAGGAAACAGAACCAGGGAAGTGACGGAAACTGATCCAAAACAACATGGTTAACTTGTCCTAATCGTTATAACTTCATCATGCAGGTCTGAGAAGGGCCAGAGACCAACAGAACGTAAGCTAGATTAACAGTTTTGGAAAGTTATTACACAAAAAGTCTCCATAGAAAACGCAGATCATGTAAAAAGGACCACAGGGTGATGCGGTAATCATTTACAGAGTATTGGCATTATTTTGGTCAACAAACATCCAATGGGATGGCCCACGGCCTCCCACCACACTCAAGTGCCTCTCTTGGGTTTTGTTGTGTTTGCTGTGGTTAGGGTTAAGTTTGGAGTACTGTACAGTTAGACTGAGCAGGCGCTCAGTCACACATCTCCTCTGGGATCTCGTGAGGATTCAGGATGCCGGGCACCGACATCTGGATCTTGTGTTTCTCCTCCTGGGCCTGTCGGAGTGACGCCTCCCTCTCCTCCAGAAAAAGGTCCGAGGTGTCCTCACCTGCAAACTCCTGAACAGCGACACAATCACAGAAAGCTGCTGTTAGCTACAAGGTTTGAAAGCCATGCTGCTTTTCTACCACAGCGACCGAGATCCTAATTTTTACTGTTAGACTGCAACACTACTAAACCCCCATTTGGGAGTGAGGGATCAAATACTCACTATGGGTGCTGGTAATTGAACTCACTCTTCCAAATGATGGACTTTTATTTGTAACAGGGTTAGCATGCACATGCTTTTTAATAAAAAGTCATTTAAAAGCATGTATTAGGCTAATTTCCAACATTCTTAGAGATTTGCATGAGCCGTTCAGTCACGTTCCCTTTCTTTGAGATAACTTCCTTCTGATTGGCTGCTGCTCACAAACAAAAGATCTGATCGGCTGATTGGTTGGGCTTCTTGGGATGCCCATCATTCAGATATTCCCTTTCATTTCTTTTCGCCCTCTTAGACAAAAAACAAACAAAAAACCCAACATGCTTGACCTCAGCAATTGGTTTAACAGTATTTGATTTACTGACATAATTACCACCTAAATGTCAACTTCAGTGCACAAAAATAAACAACAAAAAATAATCATATAAATAATAAATAAATAATAATAATCAGACCAATCAGGACACATGACACAACATTGAATGTTTCCAACAGCACCCACAAACCTTCCATAAAGTCAGGGCCGCCTGACCATGAAGTGGCAGGAAAGTGTTATTTGTGGAAACAACAGCTAAGCAGTTAGCTATGTAGTCAGTGATAAGGAGAGACAAAGCTTCCATAGAGGGACAGGCTCCATGTGCTTCAGCTCAAATACACAACTGAGATACACTCAGTCTAACAACTTACACTTTGTGTACCTCCTCAACACTGAAAGGAAATACTTAATACACCTCCAATCAAAGTTGCTACAGTCTGACGAGCTCACCTTTATCTGGACGAGGAAGTCCCTCAGATGCTCCTTGAAGGCAGGAATGTCCTGGTTTAAGCTGAACAGCCCTGTCACAAACACCTTCACCTGAGCACTGACAGACAAAACACACACACACACACACACACACACGTAAGCATCGACTGAAAAACAGACTCACTCCAGCAGAGATTATATGTGTAATGTTCACACTCACTCCTGCAGGTGGGGGAAGGCAGTCTTAAGCAGGTTGGCCACATATTCCTGGATGAACACCTGGTTGTTGGTGGGGCTGGCGGGGTTCAGCGCTGCAGTGATCTTCCCCTCCTCCACCAGGTTGAACATGTAGGCCAGGATGGACGCGTGCATCGTCAGGCCTGCAGAACACACACACGCACGCACACACGCACACACACACACACACGCACACACACACACACACACACACACACACACACACAC